AGAAAGGCAGATTTTGCCTTAGATGGTTGATGACCTCTAGACTAAAGGTCAGGAAAGAGAGATTCACAAACACTCCAAGGAACTCAGACTTACTGTAAGATGGACAAGGAATGTAATATAATGCTCTAGCTTGTGGCTATGAAACTAATATTCTGCAGAGCAGCTTTTCATTGCAAAACTGTAAGATTGACTTCCCTTACCCTGTATTGTGCACATCCAGAAAGAGCGACTTGACCCAACAGTTCCAGTGTGTGCAGAGGCAGCAGCAAAGAACATGGAATTAACAGAGAAATACTCCGGGATGGGGAGTATGCATTAACAAGGTAACTATATATTCCAAGACAACTCAATTGCTGTGCACTCCATGTAGGCAACTTTGCTTGATGGCTGTATTTTGAAGATGTTGTCAGTCAATAACATCAAGAAAAACAATTCACTCCTCAAGAATCCTGGGCCTACAGACGATATTTACCCTGAAGAATTGGTCAGTCAGTAGAATATATTTGAGGATTTTTCTGCACCAGCTAGAGTCAATACCTCACAGCATCACAAAGAAAATGCAAACTCTTACATACACACATCAAATGCCCCAACAATCATTCTGCGTAAGATTCCAAAGAATCAGCAAAGCAATGCTCCTTACCTACACAAATACTTCTACACAGTTGGTTTCTTCTCAGATCATAAGAAATTAATATTCTGTTTATATAAAGGCAACAAGCCCTCTTTGGAGACATTGACACAATTGAAAATAAGAAAATCAGTCTGATTTAGTTTAAAAGAATGTTAACTCAAGATAGACCTCAATGCAAATTCCAGACACAAATATTTAATTGATTTTAAGTGTTAGAAGAGGGGAAAAGGAATGAATCAAACACACAGTATAAAGAAATGAGATAAACAATTGTTGTAGCTAACTCAAATCAAAGTCCTGATGCTACCAGTTGCTGAACACAAGAAAAGGTCTCCTGAGACAAGCCACATGTTCTGTCAGAGCTTGATAAAACGCTGTAGATTTTGTGAACATATTGAAAGACAGAAAGTGGAATGTTTGCACTGTAGTAGCTCTGAAAGGTCCCAGCTGAGACAAGGTTACCATTATTCTAAGTGCTGTGCAAACACAGAGAGAAGACACCGTCCCGCAGAGCTTACCAACTAAAGACACAAAGGCAAAGGAGGCGAGGTGAAGTGCAGACAGCAGAAGGGATTTGTTCAGTCAAAGATGAAACCTGGCTCCTGGAGAGCCAGGCTCTGTGCCCTGGCTTGAGGCTTGTGCTGCCTCCCTCTTCTTCCTGCAAGTCGTGATTGAACAGTTCTCTTTAAAGAAGGCAGCTATGGTTTCTTAAGAAATGAAAAGAGATTAAGGGAAATTCAGAATGAAAAGGGAAAATTTAACTCTTACAGGAATAGGTGCTATGAGCTAACTTAAAAGGGGATAAAACTAGATGATCTTTAAGGTCTCTTCAAACCTAAATAATTCTATGATTCTATGTTTATGTTGTTTGCTCTATTTAAATAGTGTAAAATAAAACCATCTATCTACAGAGAGTCTTTAATAATGCATATGCACTCTCCAGATAATATTAATAATACCTGGATATTCTCTCAGTCATGAATAAATACTAGTTTGTGAAAAATTAATTCAATTTCTATTCTTTTTTATATCTGTTCCAGCTGTTTCACTTTTTCATAGCACAGACTTACTGGTTATGTAGACCTACCAGTCAAAGGTGACTAACTGATTTTGTTTGCAACATGGCTATAAACCGTTCAGAGTCTGTGCTGCAAATTCTGTCACCCGATCCAAGCCAGCAGAGTGGCACAGAGCAAGTATGTTGTCTCTGCTCATCAAAATAAATTCCCTATTGCCACTCTGAGAATGAGACTTCTGAAAACCAGTTACACGTGGGATCAATAAACTTGAAGTCACCACTTTAAGCCAGTCCAGTTCAAAGAGCGCACTGCGATATTTCTCTGCAGAGAACATTGTCTATTTTGCTTGCTGAATAAAGACTGTTCAAAGTTCACAGAGTTAGCAGCCAGAAGGGACCAGTTGATCTTTTCATCTGACTTTCTATATATCACACCATTAAGTATGATTGAGTTAGCATCAGAATGTAAGTTTGGATAAAGTATAATTTTCAGAGAAAAAAAAATCTGAAGCTAGAGGAGGAGAATTATCTCAGATGCAAGAGGAATGTAGTACCAATCACTTGGTGAA